GTTAGAAGGGGTTTTGATGGGTGTATTTATCAAAAAGATCATTACTTTTTGTCTAAAAACTTATTTTAATAGGTAGCTTAACCTTTAAGCAAGGGCAAATTTGATATTTTTACAAAAGTACAATGGCATTTTGGAAGTTAGTATCCTGAAATTTTATTTGTAGAGTGCCCTTGTCTTTAAGTAAAAATTTCAACTTTACCTTTTATGGAGAATACAAAAGTACCCATTGTCATGTAGTAATATTTACAAAATTGCCCTTACTTAATGATGAAGATATCACAAAAAGTAAATTTTTTTAGAAAATAGACTACAAAATTGGTAAATCCACTCTTTACAACTCTCTCTATCTTTAACCTTTGTAATTTGAAGGGTTGTAAAGTTTAGATTACCCCATGACACAAATCTATGACAGAAACCTAAGAACTCTGTGGATCTAGAGTTTCTTGAGAAATAAAAACTTGTAATTATTGAATAGAAAGGTGGCAGCATAACACATACTGGACGTTTGATGGCACAAATCTTGTAAAGTTTGAAGTTTCCTCCCAAGTAACTCAAATGGTATTATTTTTCACATCTAGAGTTTTTACCAGGAGAAAACAAAAGAAAGAAAAAAATCGAACTGGTTAATCGATTGCAAAAATGACTATAAAGTACTTACATAGCATTTAATACACATATCCACCAGTTTGAAAGCTTCAGAACCACCCAAAACTGCCCTTTTAACAATGAATGGTTTCTAGATTTTTCATTTTGTAGCTTGCAGATGACTTGCTAAAAAAAAAGGAAAACCAAATTACCATATCTCTAAAAATAGGAGCTTGAGGTTGTAATTTCTTTTGTGTTGTCATTTGGTTTGTGTCCCTTTTTTTTTTTTGGTGGGGGTGGGGGGGAGGGAGGATGGGCGGTTGGGTCAAATATTGGGCCAAGAAGCCTGGTTAATCCAGATTACACCCTTTAAAACCCTTTATTTTCACCAGAAAGTCTGTTTCCTGTGGATATTACTGTTGAAAAGAAGTATTGAACTCGCTGAGCGTTGACTGACTGAATTCAGACCAAAGTTACCAGGTCTCTGTTGGAAATATGGCCTATCAAGGCCTAAATTCCAGTAGTCTCTCATTCAGTGGGAGCGATTAAGAGATTGAAATCTTGATGTCTTGTGAAATGGAGCCTAGATTCTTTTACCCCGAGTATGCATGAGGCATCGAGAGTTCACGTGTTGAGAAAGCAATTTCTCAAGGAGGTGTGAGGATCACCTCCTAGTCAGGATTTTATAGGTTAGCCTCATGTTTAGCTGGAATCGACCAGGGCTTGCAGAATCCAAATGAGAAAAATAGAACCCGAGTACTTATTGAGTATTCGCCCTGTTTGGAATGGTCAAGACTTATGGGACATAAGTCCGTATCCTGACACTAGACTATTGCTTGATATGTGCAGTTTCATTTCGTACGGGAAGCCACTCTTCCAAATGCATTATTCGAGTTTGGAAGAGCCAGTGCACATGTGCTTTGAGAGGACCCCTGTAATTGGTTGGATCATGTCCCATAAGGGTACACCTGTAATCCATTGAGAGCCAAATGATTGGAAGTTCTGGCTCAGCGGCTTTGATATGGTCAATTATGTGTCCCTGTTTTAGACTGTGGAACATAGGTCTATTGGGTCGATCTAAGACTCGACGGAATATCATTCGGAACTAGCCTAATGGAGTACTCCGATACCTATAGTTATTAGCTTGAGATCTCGCTCTACCTTTTGTCTGATTTTATAGTGATGAGAAAAACCTAATAATTGCTCAAAAATACTTTAAATATTTATTGTGAATTTTAGAGAATTTTTCAAAATTTTATTTGTTAAAAAAAAAAGAAAGGATTTTCATATTGTTTGGCTCAAATTCCACTTTAATCTTGACCTGGTAGTGCCGTGTGGCGTTTAAGTGGCCGTAAGGCTGCCACATGGCACCCCACACCTCACTCTAGGATCACTGCCCAGTTGGGCATTGATCCCTAGACGGGGGACTAGATTGGCATTTGGTTCCTTGTTTTATAAAGGGTTGTGTTATGGTGTCTTGTTATATATTGTTATATAATGTTATAAATTAAGGCCCCCTTTTTATCACATGTCTTAATTAACTCACACATGGGTCATACATGACATGTGTGAAGGTTAATTAATTAATTTATTTGATATTAAAGAGAAAATGCGTTTTACAAA